AACCAAGGAATTAAATCCCATGAGGTGTTTGGTTGTACATAAGCAGCCTCAAGCAGCTACTGTTTTTTTTTTTTTTTCTTCTAACTGTTGGTGCCTCAATCAAACCCAAAGCACTGGAAGGAAACAAGCCCCATCTACTCCATCTTTTTCTCCTTTCCCTTTAGTCCTTGTATTAGTCAAGGTTCTCCAGAAAAGAAACAGAACACAGATAATATCTGTCTCTACCTATTTATTGAGAGATACAGAGATAGAGACATAGAGAGATTTAAGGAATTGACTCACATGATTCTGGGGGTGGCAAGTCCAAAATCCATAAACCTGGAAGGTTGGAAATTCCTGCAGGATATTTATTTTATAGTCTTGAGGAAGAATCCTTCTTCTTTTGGAAACCTCAGTTTTTGCTGTTAAGTTAGCTGTTTGGATCAGGCCCACATCATCAAGGGTAATCACCTAAAAAAAAAAAAAAAAAAAACCCAAAAAACAAACAAACAAGAAAACCAAACCTGTTGTTGTGGAGTCAATTCTGCTCAAAATGACCCTACAGGACAGAGTAGAGCTGCCCCATAAGGTTTCCGAGGCTGTATATCTTTACGGAAGCTGACTGTCACATCTTTCTCCAATGGAGCATCTGGTGGGTTCAAAGCACCGACCTTCTGGTTAGCAGCTGAGTGCTTAACCACTGCACCACCAGGGCTCCTATAAAAACCAAACCTGTTACCATCAATTTCGACCCACAGTAACCCTATACCTTGAGTCAACTGATGGTAAATATTAATCACATCAGCAAAATACCTTCAGAGTAACATCTAGACTAGTGTTTGGCACCATAGCCAAGCCAAGGTGACTCATAAAATTAACCGCCCCCATCCTTATTCCTAAAGGAAGTGACAATATCTTACAAACAGAGGATGAGTCCCAACTCAGTCAGTCAAAAATTCTGTGTCACAGGTGAAATTCCAGTAACAGAATTTTAAATTGGAAGAAGCAGTAAAATGAAGGGTGGAAGATCCAGGGTGAAGGGGGCCAATTTAAGATCACTTAATGGTAAAACAGTGGCACAGTGGTTAAGAGCTATGGCAAGCTATGGCTGCTAACCAAAAGGTTGGTAGTACAAATCCACCAGCCGTTCCTTGGAAACCCTATGGAGCAGTTCTGCTCTGTCCTACAGGTTTGCTTTGAGACGGAATCAACTCAACGGCAACGGGTTTGTTTGTTTTTGGTATGGTAAAGTGGCCAAGGAGCCCTGGTGGCGTAGTGGTTAAGTGCTCCTCCGGTAACTGAAAGGTCAGCAGTTTGAACCTCCCAGCGGTTCCACGGGAAAAAAATGCGACAGTCTGCTTTGGTAAAGATTATAGCCTTGGAAACCCTTTGGGGCGGTTCTACTCTGTCCGGTGAGTTGAATCAACTTGATGGCAAGGGATCTGGTTTCTGGTAAAATAAAACACATGTAAATCTTCAAAATTATGTTTATTACAGAACATAGGAAATTCTAATATAATTTTTGTAAGAAATATTTGTTTTCTTTAATAGTGGTTTATCTAGGTATTAAAACCCAAGTTAAAAGTTTATAGCTCCCCTACGGGGATGGTTAGTAAGTAGTTCATGTGTCACTTGAGTTATAGGTGGTGGGAAAGTTAAGGAGTAGTTCTTGTTGTTAGGTGCCCTTGAGTCACTTCTGACTCTTAGCAACCCCAAGAACAACAAAAGGAAGCTCGGCCCAGTCCTGCACCATCCTCACGTTTGAGCCCATTGTTGCAGCCACTGTGTCAATCCATGTTGTTAAGGGTCTTCCTCTTCTTCGCTGACCCTCTGCTTTACCAAGCATGATGTCTTTCTCCAGGAACTGGTCCCTCCTGATAACATATCCAGGAGATGAATTCTTGCCATCCTTGCTTCTAAGGAGCATTCTGGCTGTACTTCTTCCAAGACAGATTTGTTTGTTCTTCTCAAAGTCCATGGTATATTCAGTATTCTTCGTCAACACCATAATTCAAAGGCATCGAAGGAGAGTAGTTAGAAAGCTGGAATTAGCTATATGAATTTCCCTGCTGATTAAGAAGGACACCATTTTGTTTGCGTGAATAATAGAGTAATACATTGAAGTGTTATTTACTCTCTTAGAATTTGTCAGAAGGCAGGGATTACATGATGAACTGAAAGGGAGTACTATGAGAATAAATTGTCAGGTTTCAGCAGACAATTTAATGTCTCCTTCTGATGAAATTCTAAGCAGGCAGTTAAAGACTTCTATCAAAGAAGTAAGGGCTATAGGAATTAGTGTCCTTCAAAGCCCCAATGATATATGCGGGATTCCATGTGCTTTTTACTCTGTAAAGAGAGTTCTGGGAAAGAAAGAAAATTGCTTTCCACTTAAGTGTGGAAAAAGAGACGTTAAATTAAGTAATTTATGGAATAGCTGATAATAGGGAGGTTACCTGGTTGGAAATAGATGTTAGTGTTTACTTACTTGTTGCTATACCTTGGTTGAACTCATTTAAATAAAATAGCCTGTGATTGTTTTTGTTCAGTTATTTTAATTCTAAAAGTTCTGTTTTAATAGAAAATATATAGCTGATGATAAATCATTCAAAAATCCACTTTTTGATATCCATGATTAAAGAAAACCAAGACCAGGAATGACCATCTGCTGAAAAGTTTTGAATTGTGGCTATAATGCCTAACAGGAAATAAAAAGTCTTCTGGAAAGATAACCTTGGACATCTAGCCTAATAAGGGAATGGTGAGTGTGTAACACCCTACCTGTACCTTGCCTGATCTTGCTTCCTGAAAGTAGAGTTCTTTCTGATGCCTCAGCAGCCTATTTAACCTGAGGGAGGGGTGGGTTGGAGGTCACTATTATTTATGGACCAAAGTGCAGGGACTCAGCCATTGGACCCACTTCTCAACTGTCAGGAAAGTTTTTCTTAAAGGGATCCTCTGAGGGACCCATCTGGCAAGACAGTACTCCCGCCTTGCCCCTCCCCATTCCTTTCCCATGGGGAAGCCAGTCTGACAGAGACTTGAAGGAGCCAGGCCTGAAATGATTCACTGGGAGATGCTGTTTCTTGGAATGATTCTGCTTTGCTGTTTGGCACTTAGTCAAACGCTGAGCCTCTTTAGAGCTGCACTGTCTAAGGAGCATCCTTCTTAGGAGCTCTAGTTCTGCAGGATGCTAATCTGCCTGATAGGAAAAAGAGGTTCCGTGATCAAATACTTTTGGGAAATGGTGGGTTAGAGAAAGTTGATGAGGTTTCTTAATTATAGGACTTTATAGATCCTTTAATATGCTGATATGCAATATAATTTTCCATATAGGGGATAGTGTATGCAATGATTTCCAAGCTTATGAGAACAGTAAACCTATTTTCCTTCCTGGAACATCTACCTAAGCCACCTGGGGAAATGTAAGCCTTTGCAAGGGAGGAGCTCTCTGGCAGTGGGTCTCCAACTTTGCTGCATTGTAATCCCCTGGAGATTTAAAAAAACTACTGATGCCTGGCTCCCATACTCAGACATCCTGATTTAATTGGTATGGGGTGTAATCTGGGCATTGGGATTTTAAAACCTCCCAGGCAATTCTAACGTGCAGCAAAGCTGGAGAAATACTGCTCTACAGCCCTCTCACCTTATGCCATCTTTTGAGTAGGCTTAACCAGCAGGGCACTGGCCTGAGTTTACATCATTGTTTTGCCACCAAGTAGCTTGGTGATCCTCTCCGTATATAAAAAAACCAAACCAAACCCATTGCCGTCGAGTCGATTCTGACTCATAGTGACCCTATAGGACAGAGTAGAACTGCCCTATAGGGTTTCCAAGGAACAGCTGGTGGATTTGAACTGCCAGCATTTTGGTTAGCAATAGTAGCTCTTAACCACTACACCACCAGGGCTCCATTCTCTGTATCTAAGTCTCTTTATATATAAGACAGGAGAACGGCAAACCCACCCTACTAGCTCACAGGTTTCTTGTGATGAAGGAGTCTCTGATAGGGCTTTGGAGAAATCATACTCTTCAAGATCATGACTTTATTATTTTACTTTAGTTTACAACACAGTGCACAGAGAGCCAAACAGGACCAGAGCTCCTGAAAATGCTCCCAAGGCACAGTCTTTCGATATAATTTTTGGAGAATAGTTGTATTAGAATCACATGTCTGTTAACAATGTAGATTCCTGTACCCCATGGCAGATGCATTGAACCAGAATCTCTGGTGGTGGGACGCTAGAATTCACACTTTAAACAAATTCCCTAGGTAATTCTTTTTGTCTTTGTTTTCCAGTTTTTTTCCTTTTATTGCCTCTGCATCTTTTATTGTTGTTGAAAATATACAGAGCAAAATATACACCAATTCAACAATTCTACATGTACAATTCAGTGACGTTGATTACATTCTTTAAGTTGTGCAACCGTTCTCACTCTCCTTTTCTGAATTGTTCCTCCCTTATTAGCGTAAACTCACTGACCCCCAAGCTTCCTATCCAACCTTTCCAGTTGCTGTTGTCAATTTGATCCCATATAGATAGTTCTTGAAAAGAGCACAACACTCAAGGCTCTCTGGGTAATTCTAATGCACACTGAACTTTGAGAAGCAATGCCATGGTTGTGGGGGGTGGAGGGACAGAATTGGTCACCATCAAGAACTTGCTCAGTCTGCCTGGTGGAAGTCAGCTCATGATCCATTCATACCTGCTTGTCCAACAGTTCATCTCATGACTCCCCCACTTGCATCATTCTCTTCTTCTGCCCAATGGCGAAATTTTAGGGTCACCAATTACAGTACATCTTGATGATTGGGAGTAAAGGCTTGTGCTTACAAAACAGCCTCCTTTTGGGATCAGGTCACAGCTGGTAAGAGTGGCATTGTGCAGACCCCTGACAAAATTCCTAACTGTGATACAGGAAATCTTCAAAGAAGCATATTCCTTTTGGTATAAGGCAGAAATAAGACCGGACTAGGAACCAGCCCCATTCGACCCTGCTGGGTAATGGCAGCACACGGGATGGGGCATTGGGACTTTGCAATTAAGGAGAAACTTCCAAAGATATTAGACACCTTGTTAAGAAGTCATATGAAGATAATCCGCCTCTCCCTGGAGACTCATCTCAGGAACCAATTAGGGTATGAAGCTGGGGCAGTGAGTATAAGAAGCTCCTTCAGTAAGGTCTAGTGTTGGATCAGAAACTCAGGAAGAGAGGCTGGCTGGCTATCCATGCTACGCTGGGCTGAGTCTGAAAAAATATGGGAAACTCGAGTGTCAGGGTGCGAGGAAAGAGACCAGAAAAAAAAAAAAAAAAAAAAAGCCCAAAGAACTCAAACCCATTGCCGTCAAGTCAATTCCGACTTTCAGCGACCCTATGGGGCAGAGTAGGACTGCCCCATAAGATTTCCAAGGCTATATCTTTACGGAAGAAGACTGCCATATCTTTCTCCCATGGAGGAAAGAGAAAGACTCAATCAAGTGGGAATAAGGAATAGAGGAGCTGAAAAGGACTTCATCCCAACCAGGCTGCTGTGATTACAGACCTCGGGCTGCCTTGTTTTTTATTGGATAGGAACAAAGGAGGTAACTGAAGCTCATAGAGGAAAAGTGACTTGCCCAGCGTCACACATACAGTGTGGGAAAACTAGAACCCAAGCCTTTTTCTGCATCAGCAGTATTTTTTCTCCACGACCCTGGGTATACCACTCCTGTCACCAGAAGAGCAACAAACAGCAGGTCACAGGCAGAGGAAACACTAAAGAAGAAGGGAAGGTGATAGCGAAGTGGAATTCAGGTGAGGAGGGTTCATGCTCAGACCATGGCTTCCAAAGAATTTCCTTTCTTTGTCATTATCCCTAATGGGTCATTTCAGCATTGGTTTGCCTGCCAGTGCACGAGGAAATCAAACATGATCAAATCCCTTCTTTACAGCTCTGTTCTAGAACTCTACCAACCAAAAAATAAATAAATAAAAAAAGCCCAAACCCGACTCATGGTGACTCCATGTGCTACAGAGTAGAACTGCTCCATAGGGTTTTCTTGACTATAATCTTCACGGAAGCAGATCACCAGGCCTTTCTTCCATGGGGCCACTGGGTGGTTTTGAACTGCCAACATTTAGGTTACTAGTCAAGCGCAAACGATTTGCACCACCCAGGGATCTCAGAACTCTACAAAGGACCTTCACATCCATTAACTCAGATTTCTCCAACAGTGCTCAGACAACACCAGACAAGCATGAATACTTCTGCTTCTTCTTGCTTTCGAATTTGGATGCTGTTTATTGTCAAATTACTGCTTTTTATTAGGGACTGTTAGAACAACCAAATAATGCTTATGGAGATTTGTTAGATGCTAAAAAGAGCTTATACTTGCTTTTTTGATTCCAAGGTTAATGCCAGTATTTATTTAAAAAATCTCCCTTAATCAGCCAGCCAACTCCAATTAGGCTAACAGCTGTTAGTTAAACATACATGTTGTTATACCGAGAATAGAAATATTTCTACAAGGAGAGCTCATTGCTGACTGCTAATGGATTTTTTTTTGGGGGGGAGGGCTTCATGTTCTTTTGCTTGTAGAATATAAATTCTCCTTCCTTAAAAGGTTCATTTAAAATTTTAAATAGCCACCATATATATATGGAGTGCTTTTAGCTTTCCAACGCACTTTTGCATTGGTTTTAATCTATGCATTAACTGTATCTCATAAGCAGAGCAGATATTATGATCCCCTTTTGGCAGAAGAGGAAATTGAGGTTCAGAGAGATTAAGTGCCTTGTGTAGGATCAAACAGCTAACTGAGCATGGAGTTGCAAGTACAAGAGCTGACTTGTAAATCAGAGAATCACTTGCTCTCCTTTTTCACTATAATGGAAGGATTCATCACTTCTTATCTTGTAGTAGAGTAAAGCTATCTACTTGTTTATTTCCATCTTAGATTGCAAAGTTTGTTGAAGTCAAGCACCTAGATGATAAACACTCAATATAAAACTTATTACCTTGAAATGAAGGAGTCTCTTGGTAGTGCAAATGGTTAAGTGCTCAACTATCAGCCAAAAGATTGGCAGTTCGAACCCAATCAGAGGTGCCTCAGAAGACAG